GTCCCCTGCCCCCACCCCCATTTGCCCATATTCTACCATGGACAGCGGTGGGAGTGACAGCAGTAACAGGGACCCAGATTTCCTGCACCCTGACTGCCAGACTGTGGGCCCAGGGCCATGCCTGTACTAACATGCATCCTCCTTGTGGTGACTGTCCTGCTGTCATCCTTGAACCAGCCAGGGCATGGAGAGGTGGGGCAGGGCTTCTCGGGGAGTGGTGACCATCATCAAGTATTGTTCAAAGGGGTGGGATGTCAGCCTTCGCAGGTGAATGGGGCGTACTGGTGTAGAGCCGGTAGAGGCCTTGGACAGTGGCTGTTGGAAACCAGGTCACAGCAGGTTTGGGGCTCCAGTTGGAAACACGTGGCACAAACGTGCCTGACATGTGCCTCTCCGGCTCTGGACAGAACCCTGGGACTTTGAGTTAAGGACGACTTGATTATATCACCACTGGAGCCCAGCTGTAGTTCTGCAGATATGTTTCTGTTTTTTAAGATTATTTTTAAAAATGTTTTTATTGGGGCACCTGGGTGGCTCAGTCGGTTAAGCGGCTGCCTTCGGCTCAGGTCATGATCCTGGAGTCCCGGGATCGAGTCCCACATTGGGCTCCCTGCTCGGCAGGGCGTCTGCTTCTCCCTCTGACCCTCCCCCATCTCATGCTCTCTCTCTCCATCTCATTCTCTCTCTCAAATAAATAAATAAAAAAATCTTTAAAAAAAAATGTTTTTATTTCCTCTGGCCAGTATAATTTTTCATGGGGCTTTACTCTTTGATTTGAACTGGAAAAAATGTTCCCATTTTAAGACCTCTTAAAACATGTCTTTGGATTTATTGTCTGTACAAATGGAAATTCAGATAATAGTTCTGTTCATAACTGAAGAAAAACTGGAAAAGAAAATAAATTTCTCGCTACTTGGAGTGATAAACATGGTGAAGCGTATGCTGTATATCCTGGCAACAGAAATTCAAGGTCGGAAATAATTCCTTTCCTCCTGAATCTGCCTTCAGCTTCCCTGAGGAGAGCAGCGGCTGAAATTTGCTACTAATTGTAGCCATAATTTTAGCATGCAATTAAACACATGATTTCCTTCCCAGCTGATGTCTTTTTAGCTAGTCTGACATGGATAAAACAAAAGCCCTGTAGATTTAAATGGCCGCTTCAATTTGATAGGAGTTGAAGAAAAGTCACCATTGTTTGAGCACGTTTGGCTGCGTGATAGGAATGTGGTTAATCTTGCCTGTAAAAATGGCAAACAGCTTGGGTGCTTCTAATGTAGTTTCTAATGCTGCTGCCCGAGCATTGAAGAGAACCAGCCGTTGGTATGCCCATTTTGCTAAGACCCTCCATGAGGTAAGGATCAGTGGAGGGAGTGATACCGGGGAGAGGAGTCCGAGATGGAAATTGTGTGGTTGTGGTGGCAGGAGCAGAGGTGCATGGAGGTCACCTCATGCGGTAGTGGTCTGGTGTCTGAGGGAGCCCAGGACCTGAGAGCAGAGCCGCTCTCCAGGGAGGGAGCCAGGGAGGCCCCAGGCTGGCCTGCCCTGGCCTAGTGTGTCTATTTGGTGCTTTTCTTTTCCTTGGTCTCTCTCAGAGGGTCATCTGCTCTGTAAAGGATGTTTTGTGTGAAATTAGGGCTCCTTGCCCAGGGGAGTTTGGGAACTACCAGGGTAAAGAAACTAAATAGGTTTCTCTACTCAAGGACATCTTTTTTTTTTTTTTAAAGATTTTATTTATTTGACAGAGAGAGACATAGAGAGAGAGGGAACACAAGCAAGGGGAGTGGGAGAGGGAGAAGCAGGCTTCCTGCTGAGCAGGGAGCCCGATGCAGGGCTCGATCCCAGGACCCTGGGATCATGACCTGAGCTGAAGGCAGACACTTAACGACTGAGCCACCCAGGCGCCCCTACCCAAGGACATCTTGAGAGTCTGTTACATGCTGCTGTGCTTTGTGATTCTCTGAAGGAGAGTTCAAACAAATGTGGTTTTCCAAAAGTATGTGACTGTGGCATTCTTTATTCAAGGAATACCTGGCAGGGCACAGTTTGGGAAGCATGGTTATGATTGTATGGAACCTCTTGAACAGGACTTTTCATAACAATGAACGTGAACAAGTCTTGAACATGACTTTTTATAACAATAAGAGCAAATGCTGATTTTGCACACACCGTGTGTGAGCCGTCGTCCCAAGCACTTGCACGCACGGTCTCATTAAATTTTCCCCATGTTTTAGGTCCTCTTGTTAGCATCCCTGTGATACAGGCAAGAAACTGAGCCATTGGGAGGTTAAGAAAGTTGTACAAAGCCTCAGAGTTTGTGAGGACTGGGCCTGTCCTTCTCTTCCAGCCTGTGTCCTGGTTGTCCTTCAAGTCCTGGACCCTCTGTAGCCTCATCCAAGAAGCCTTTCTGATTCCTTCCCCATCCCCAAGGAGGACTCGGACCCTTCTCTGGTCTCCAGAGCCAGAATCCCTCAAGGTCTCTGCCATACTGCATTGTCACCACGATATGCCCAGCTGTCCCCCATACTGGACCACAGGGTTCATGAGTGCCAGGGCTATCTGTGCCTGGGAGCTGAGTCTTTGGTCTCTAGCACCATGCCTGGCACATAGTTGCTGTGAGTGAAAAGCAGTGAGTGGTTTTCACATGTGGACTGGATCTCATATGCTCTCTTTGTTCCTTAATGGTAGGTGGCAGCAGAAGAGGTCCTGATAGTTCTGTTTCTGAGGACTCATACTATTTTAATTCTGGACCCAATTCTTTTCTTACTTTGGATTTAAATTGATAAATTTAATATAAGTAAATTTAATTGATAAATTGTCAAGACCAGTGTGTTCCCTTGAGTAAGTGTCTGTATGTGTCATCGGCAGTGTTTAAGCCCGGGGCTTAACAGAGGTACTTGGATGGATGGAGTCAACATTCTCATATTCCATGGCATCATCTCTAAAGGTGTATTCTTGGCTTTCTTTATAAATGTAATTCAGCATTTGGGGATTGATCAGACACGATTGAGTGGGTTTGGGTGTTAAAACAGAAGGTTTGGACTAGAACACAGAGAGGAGCTCTTTTCTGGGGCAGCCCGTGGCCATTTTGAAATGAATCCTAGGGAGCAGGATGGTTCCCACAGTGAGGGAGCAGGACCTCCCTTCCCACCTTACCCTTTTCCTTTTATAGTTAATTTGTTTGAAAATTTTAATTATGAAACATACAGAAAATAGATACTAGTGTACTCACTACCCAGCTAGTCATGTTGGTCTGAGGTCTGTCTCTCTCAAATCCCACCATCCCCTGCCTTCTCTTCGGTATGAATGTGGTTCTTGTCCTGTGTTTGGCTTTTCTCTTTCCTGCTCATGTTTTTTTCATATATATATATATATATCTCCATAAATAATATAACTTGTTTTGGATATTTGAAAGTATCATATAAATGAATAAATGGTATTAAATGACATGTCCTTGTTGCAAGTTACTTTTTTTTTAAAGATTTATTTATTTTGAGAGAGCATGCGCATGTGCACACATGCAAGTGGGGGGAGGGGCAAAGGGGGGGAGAGAGACAGAGATCTGCAGTGGACTCCCTGCTGAGCGTGGAACCCAACATGGGGCGTGATCCCACGACCCTAAGATCATGACTTGAGCTGAAATCAAGGGTCAAACCCTTAACCAACTGAGCCACCCAGGCGGCCCAGCAAGTGACTTTTTAAATATCACATCATGTGTTTGAGATTTGCCTTGTTGACCCATGTGGCTGCCACATAGTATTCCACTGAGGAATTAGAGTTTATGCATTCATACCCCCAGTGAGGGACAGATTCTGTCCACTTTTTCTGTTATAAACACTGCCAGACTGAACACCCTCGAACATTCCTTTTTTTTTTTTATGTTATGTTAGTCACCGTACAATACCTCATTAGTTTTTGATGTAGTGTTCCATGATTCATTGTTTGTGTATAACACCCAGTGCTCCATGCAATACATGCCCTCCTAATACCCATCACCAGGCTCACCCATCTCCCCATTCCCTCCTCTCTAAAACCCTCAGTTTGTTTCTCAGAGTCCATAGTCTCTCATGGTTTGTCTCCACCTCTGATTTCCCCCCCCTTCATTTTTCCCTTCCTTCACTTTTCCCTTCCTTCTCCTAATGTCCTCCATGCTATTCCTTATGTTCCACAAATAAGTGAAACCATATGATAATTGACTTTCTCTACTTATTTCACTTAGCATAATCTCCAGTTCCGTCCATATTGATGCAAAAGTTGGGTATTCATCCTTTCTGATGGCTGAGTAATATTCCATTGTATATATGGACCACATCTTCATCCATTCGTCTGTTGAAGGGCGTCTCGGCTCTTTCCACAGTTTGGCTATCACGGACATTGCTGCTATGAGCATTGGGGTGCATGTGGCCCTTCTTTTCACTACATCTGTATCTTTGGGGTAAATACCCAGTAGTGCAATTGCTGGGTCATAGGGTGGCTCTATTTTTAACTTTTTGAGGCACCTCCACACTGTTTTCCAAAGTGGCTATACCAACAGTGTAAGAGGGTTCCCCTTTCTCCACAGCCTCTCCAACATTTGTTGTTTCTTGCCTTGTCAGTTTTTGCCATTCTAACTGGTGTAAGGTGGTACCTCAGTGTGGTTTTGATTTTGTGTAAGAATTTCTGAGTAGACTCACCAAGGTGGAATTCCAGAGTTGTAGAGTTTGTTCAAGCATCACAGTGCCCCCCAAAGTGGTTAAATCAATTTACCTTCCCCCCATTCTATAGTCCTTTAAGCCCACATTTCCCGACCCTGGTGTTCCCAGATCTTTTCATTCTTGCCAAGTCTGTAGGGCTTACAGTGGCACCTCTACTGTTTAATTTTGCATTTCCCTCCCTACTTATGGTGTTGACCACCTTTCCCCGTGTCTACTGGCTAGTCCTACTCTTCATGTTTCTGATTACATTGATCTAGGTGACTTTTTAGACAGAGAAACCTCTCATAACTGTTTGTGTTGCTCTTTCAGATGGCAAGTTTGGTGCCTACATGCAAGTCCACATTCAGAATGATGGGCCTGTGACTATAGAATTGGAGTCCCCGGCTCCTGGCGCTGCTACCTCTGACCCAAAGCAGGTAAGCCTGGACTCTGTTGGGGTCTGTCTCCTGGCTTTTGGCTTTGATTGAGTCCCTCAAGCAGTTCTCAGTCTGAGGTGGAGGAAAGACTTCATTGTAGCAACCTAATATCTCTTTTAATACATCCCTTCCCAAGAATGCATCTGTTTACACTGCATCTCCTTGGTGCTGTGGTAGGCTGGACAGCACTTCTCCCTTACCTCTTCCTGACTTTGGATTCCAGAGAAAATGTCCTTTCCAAGAGCCCAGCTCTTCCCCGCTGCGAGGTGCCTTAGCCCCCACATGCCGCTGGGTGGCAGCAGAGTCATGGCACAGCTCCGCTGAGCCCTGACCTGGCCTCTGCACGGGTTTGGAACGGTTACCAAGAGTGGGTTTTGTCCCAGGCCTGGGTACCTGTGCCTCCCAAGGTTCTTTGTAAATCCTTATTTTTCTAAAGCACTGTCTGACCTGGATTTGCTGCCAGCTCTCTAAGCTTTGAGGAAGAATTTTAATTAAAATAGAGAAAGGACATCTGTGATAGTTCTTGCAACCTGTATCGTTCTTATAGATGCTTAACACTTCTTGAGGCTTTAATTAATGTGTCCACTTAATAGCCTTCGAGACACATGGGATCAGGCAGAGGAGTGAGAACCGAAGGGACATTTCTGTTCTTCCTTCTCCCCTTAACCTCCCTCCCTTCCTAGGATGCTGTGAAGTGAAATGATGCAGTAAGTGGGGGAAGTATTAGATAAATATAAAGCTGTATGACCTGTTCAAAGTTATAACGTTTCTTTCATTGATATTTATTGAATAAAATACTTTTGAGATACTCTTTTCACAAGAATAGAGTAGGAGAAGATAGCAACCCATAGTCTGAATCCTTATGGACAATGTCTGATATCAAAATAGTCCCCTGTCCAGCACGGGTCTGAGGACTCTGGTTGCCTCATGGATCTGCCACTGGGGAACTTCTTACGAAGATGTTATTGTGACAGCCAGTGGGACAGAGTACTAACTCTGTCAGCCTTACAAAATAGCTGATGTGAATTATTTTGTGCCTACTTGCTTATAAATTCACATCTTAAATATGAAGGTCTGTGTGTATGGCCGAAGTTGATCTAAGACTTGCCATCAGTATAACCTGATACCGTCCAGAATAGGATAGCAGACTCTCCTCCTCTTTGGGTGCTTACTGTTATCAACCGAGAAAAACCTAATAGTTATGCAAAATCAGACTGGTTTAAGTCAATTCACAGCCTGCAGTTGATGGTCCTCTCCAATGCAGAAAGCTAAAAGGAAACTCCTGCCACCCCACCTCCACACATTCCTTCTGTTTTCTTTTTTCCTAAATTCATGGGACTACCATTTACCTTGTCAGCCAGGCCCAAATCTCGTGTCATCCTAATTTCATCCCTGCCTCTCCCAATACAATTTCCTAAGTGCTGATGCTGCTCTAATGTTTCTTTTTTTTTAAATGTAGTAAGTAATTTAATCTTTATCATAGGGTATGATGAGGAAATAGGGGCACCATGCTTAAGCAGTAACTTAAGGTCACATAGCTGCTAAGAGGCAGAACCAAGAGGCAAAACCCAGTTTTCAAAATCAGGAAGCAAAAAATTATTGCCTAAAATCCGAGGTCACTGACATTGTTTTTGAAGAGAAATCTAATAGTCTCTGAATGCTTGCCACCTCCCAGCCGTTTTTGGAGAAAAATGCCTGTGGTTCCTGTGCTTTGGGGGCCATGGTTTATTTTTATTTTTAAAATTTTTGTTCCATTTATTGAAACTAAAAAAATAAGCAGTTTACCCGTGGGTGATTTTTTTGTTTGTTTGTTTGACTGTTTTGTTTTGTTTTTTTCTTAGTTCCAAGTTATTATTTTTAAGGGGAACATAACCTTTCTTACTTGTTGCTGATACTTTGGGTTGATAGAGAAGCAAGAACATGTCTTATATAGTAGTGCTGGACTTCAAAGGTGGTAATTGAAGTTCCTGGAATAACTGTAACATTAAAGAAAATCACAAGTGAAAAATCCACATGAAAATTTAAATGTTTTATTTTGAAATAATTGGAGACATGAGGAAAAGTTGGAGTCACAGTTCCACTGGACGCTTTACCCAGCTCCCACTAACTTTATTGCCTTACATAATCATAGTACACTGATGGAACGCTGAGATTAATACTGATATAATATCGTTAATTGATGGAGGAATGTTGGGGTTCGGAGCCAATGGCCAAGAAAGAATTCTTGAGACGTCTTCAGTGCAAAAAGGTAGTTTAATTAAAGCATGGGGACAGGACCCGCGGGCAGAAGGAGCTGCACTAGAGTTGTGAAGAGCAACTGATTATATACTTTCAAGTTGGGAGGGGGCTGGTAAGTCTCTAAGGAATTTTGGAAGCAAGGATTCCAGGAACCGGAGGGGGCTAGCTATTGTTAGTAAAAGGTCATTTATTACCAGTAAAACCCTAGTCATGAGACCCTGTAGATGTGTATCAGTGGGCCATATGCTTGGAGGATGATTGCTAACATGTATCTTGGGGGTAGAGATAAAGGAAATTTCGAAACGAATTTTTATATGTTAAAGGATCTGGGAGGTTGGGATAAGGTTAAGCTGAGATTGTCTTTTGCCCTTAGCAAAGTATTAACATCGAGGCAGCTGAGTTCCTACAGGAATGTCACTCTGCCTGTTTCAGGGACTTGTCAGGGGGCTGTGAATAGTGAGGAAATTTTAACTTTTCTTTTGCCTTTGTTTCCCACATCATTAACTACACTACAAACCTTACTTAAATTTCACTAGTTTTTTTTTTCTTCTAATGTCCTTTTTCTATTTCAGGGTAATCAACATTGCATTTAATTGTTATTTCTCTTCTCTAATCTGTGACAGCTCCTCAGTCTTTCCTTGTCTTTCATGACCTTAACGATTTTCAAGAGTACTGGCGTTTTGTTGAAGATTCCTCAGTTTGGGCTCTCTGATTACACTGAGGTTATGTGTTTTGACAGGAATATCAAATAGCACAAAAGTGATGTGCCTTTCTCAGTGCATCATAGAGAAGTACATGAGACTGATCTGTCTTATTACAGGTGGTGTTAACCTCGATCCCTTGGTTAAGATGAAGTCGGCCAAATTTCTCCACCCTACGTGGAGTATTATTAACCTTTCCCCCTCATCTGCTCTATTGCTTGTTCATAACAGATGGCTGTCTTTCTGCTTCACAAAGAAGCCATCGGATGGCATTGACCTTGCTTCTCCACCCCCCTCTTCCTATGTATGTAGCAGAGCTGCCCTTCTTTGTGCTGAGGCCAGTGCCTCCCCTGGGCCAGGATTGCCTCTATAATTTGTGGGGCCCAGTGCCAAATGAAAATGAGGGGCCCCTTGTTAAAAAATTATAATGAATTTCAGGACAGTCACAGCAGATCATGAAGCCAAGGGTGAGCCCTTCTACAAGCAAGGCCCTGTGAGCCTGTATCTGGTGGAGCCAGACCAGCCTGGGGTGTGGCGCCCTTCCCGGCCTCCCCTTTACCTTCCTGGCAGCCTCCATTAAGCCCTTTGTCCTCTTGTCCGGTCAGTCTGTCTCTCTCACTCATCCATCTAATTCCTGTGGCTTTTAAATATTCCCGAGCATTCCAGTTGAGAAATGCCTCCATTTCCTTTCTGCTTGCCGCCTGCTCAGTGTACTGTAATCTGCAGAGGCTCCTGCTGAGGCCCCCTGAGCTCCATGTTGCCTGATTCCGTGCCTGGTAGGCACTGATCTGGCCGCTCAGCAGCTCCTACCACTGTTGCCGCTTGCATGGTCTTGAATCTTGTTTTCTGGGACACCGGTGGTTCTCTCCCAGGTTTCCTCTTGCCTCTGCTCACTCTCTCTAGTTTGGTGTGATTGCTGTTTTGTAGTTCTGATCTATTATTCTGCTTTAACTCTATTTGGAGAAAAATTTTAGTCAAATTTTTGTTTTCATTCTAAATCAGTGCCTCCTCTTTATAACATAAAGATATATAAGCATGATTTCTTTTTAACATCTAATGAGGCATGCTAGCTTATTAGAGTAAGAAAGTCTTTTTTTTTTTTTTTTTTACTGTTTTATTTTTAAGTAATCTCTACACATGTGGGGCTTGTACACATGTGGGGCTTGAACTCACAAACCCAAGATCAGGAGTCACGTGCTCCACTGACTGAGCCAGCCAGGCGCCCCAAGAAAGTCTTTTTTTTTTTTTTTTTTTACTGTTTTATTTTTAAGTAATCTCTACACATGTGGGGCTTGTACACATGTGGGGCTTGAACTCACAAACCCAAGATCAGGAGTCACGTGCTCCACTGACTGAGCCAGCCAGGCGCCCCAAGAAAGCCTTTTATTTTAGTTATTTCTGAGTCTTTCTTTTAGGAACGTTCTCTTCAAATGCATGTATTATGCTGTATCAATTTCATTTGTTTTACTCGTTAACTGGCCCCAGAGTCTCAGACCCTGTGACCGCGCGCAGATCTGTGTCCTCTCGCTCTCCAGTAGGTGGCGACAAGTAGACATGCAGGGCCCTGGTGATGGTGGGGGGCCAGCCTCTTTGCCTGTGGTCCGTCTCTGCCTTTCCATTCTCAGGAAGACTGGGTGTTATACGCAACTAATGAATCGTTGAGCCCTACATCAAAAACTAATGATGTAGTATATGCTGGCTAAGTGAACATAATAAAAAAAAAAAGAAGGGGGTTCCTCTTTGGGCAAATAGCTAATTTGCTTGCTTTTGTGTTGGTAGGAAGACTGCAGCCAAATTGTTTTCACTGATAGATAAGCATGCCTTTCTGTCAGTTGAGCTTTTAATTCCAAATGTTTTATTTTCTCAATATAATCCAATTAGTAGTGAAAACTATGTACATTATAGAGAAATAGTTATTTTGGCAAGTTTTAAAATACAGGTTCTTTAGGGGCTGCCTTCGGCTCAGGTCATGATCCAGGAGTCCTGGGATCGAGCCCCATGTCAGGCTCTCTGCTCAGCAGGGAGTCTGCTTCTCCCTCTTCCCTTCTGCTTCCCCCCCCCCCGCCAATAAATAACTAATAAAAATCTTAAAAAAAATACAGGTTCTTTAAA